TACCAAGATAGATTTACTTATTGGCACCATTACACCTTAATGTATAATAAAAATCTCACATACCCACACCATTATGTCATTCTCAATGGACACCATTGTACCTTAATGTAAAATCGGAATGTCAAATCATCACAACAAGCTATATGTTTGCATATACACCATTGACCCTTTATTGTATAATAGGAATGTCATGTCAAATATATTAAATATCTATTTTGCACCATTATACCTTAATGTATAATAGGAATGCCACATGCCTAATGCCACAAAGTATAATCGGAGTATTACATATATCAAGATGTTAAATTTACATATTGGCATCATCATACCTTAATGTATAATAGGAATGCCACATGCCCACACCATTATACCACTCTCAATTGACACCATTGTACCTTAATGTACAATCGGAATGTCAAATTAACTCATCAAGCTATTTGTTCACATATGCACCATTGTACCCTTATTGCACAATAGGAATGCCATGTCAAATTTATTGACATGTCAAATTTTGCACCATTATACCTTAATGTATAATAGGAATGTCACGTGCCAAATATCATATAATAGGAATCTCACATATATCAAGATGTTAGATTTACATATTGGCATCATTATACTTTAATGTATAATAGGAATGCCAATATGTAATGATGCCATATGTGTCATAAATTCTTTTCAATTGCCAGTTTGTTTCATTATTTGTTGAGAATACATTAACACCACAAAGTATAATGAAATAAGAATGCCAATATATAATAGAAATGCCTCAAACCCAAAACCACAAAGTATATGAGGAATGTCACATATGTTAGATTTACTTATTAACGCCATTATACTTTAATATAAAATAAGAATGCTACGTACCCACACCTTTAAATTTTATTTTATTTCTTCAAAGAAGAGAAAGTGATTCTCACATTAAGTGACCACTCAAAGCCATCATTATTTTCAAAAGTTAAAATGCTGTCTCGCCCCTTGAATGAATTCAACAAAATTATAATGCAGCATGATAGCATATTTAATAAGCTATGAGAAGCTTCTGCAAAGTTTGTATTTTTCATCACCAGTAAGCATGAAA